TAGGATACTGATTGAGAGGCGTCTGAACTCTGGAATTAGGGAACGCTAGTCTTGCAAATCTTGACCCACTCTACGGTTGGGTGTTTCCCAATGATTCCCGTTTTGCCTTTCCAGAGACTGTGGTGAAAGACGACATGAACAATTACATCAGTCAATACTACAACGAACCCAGCAGTGGTAAGCTTGGATTTTGAGACTCAAAAGAGGCGCCTTCTTTAAGAAGAGGGTCTTCCCCATAAGCGGCCCCTTCTTAGCTCCCTCTTGAATTCCAGGAAGGTCGGTCCTTCTGTCCTAGCTCCAACTTCTTCCTCCGTATAGAACAGAATAGAATATGGAAAGAGTAGAATGGAATAGGAATAGAATAGAGAATATGGAATGGAATAGAATAGAATTAGAATAGAGAATGAATTAAAATAGAATATGGAAAGAATGGAATAGGAATAGAATTAGAATAGAGAATATGGAATGGAATAGGATAGAATTAAGAATGAATTAAAATAGAACAGAATAGAATATGGAAAGAATAGAATGGAATGGAATAGGAATAGAATAGAGAATATGGAATGGAATAGAATTAGTATAGAATAGAGAATGAATTAAAATAGAATAAAATATGGAAAGAATGGAATGGACTAGGAATAGGAATATAATTAGAATAGAGAAAATGGAATAGAATAGAGAATGAATTAAAATAGAATAGAATTAAGAATAAGGAATGGGGTGGGATTGAATAGAATGGAATGGAGAAGAGCATAATGAAATGAAGAATATAATAGAATAGAATAGAATGGAATAATGGAATGGAAAAGAGTAGAGAATAATAAAATATAGAATAGAATAGAATAGAATAATGGAATGGCGGAGAGAATAGAACAATAAAATGAAGAATAGAACAGAACAGAATTCTTAATTGGCCAAGTGTGATTGGACACACAAGGAATTTGTCTGATGCAGATGCTCTCAGGACACATAAAAAGACAAGATACGTTCATCAAGAATCCTAAAATACAGCATGGTAGTCATAGGTTTACCCCCAACAACCCGGCTCCTCAATTGTCCTCAAACGATGCTCATGCTCCAACTGTATTTCCCTGTGTGCGTGCATGCCTCTTTCAAACCCTTTTCCAGACAAAGCTCAGGGCTTCCGATAGCATGAAAGGCATCCTCTGAATCTTAAGCTCTCGCGTCCGCTAACCTTTGATCTCTTCCCACACAGACAGCGGTGTGCCTGAAGGGGCCTTCTGCGTCATCACAACAGCGGCCATCGACGTCCACCAGCCCAACGTCTCCTCTGACCTCTTCATGGTGGAAATGCCGATGAAGATGATGGAGAGCAACGGGATCTCCACGAGCGCCGCATCAGGCAGCGCCTCCAGGTCCACGGACAGCTCAGTCACCCGAACGCAGAGCGACAGCAGCCAGACCTTTGGCTCTTCCACGGACTGCAGCACGACGCGGGAGGAGTCCTCTGAGTACTGCCCCTTAAAGCGGCCCTGCCAGGCAGGCCAAGGCACTCAGGTCAGCTCCTCTTCGCCCCATCGCAGGGTCCATAACGCCGTCGTCCAGGAACTGTTGTCCTCCTTATCGGAGGACTCCTGCTTAACCCAAAAGGGCCTGGACCCCGTGAACCTTAAACTGCCAAGCCCAGCGGGGTCGGCCACCGCCAGCCCCGAACTGGAGCGCCGCGTCAATATTTACAACAAAAAGAACCAAGAAAACTTTGGAGTCTTTCAGAAAAAGCCGGTCATCCACTTCCAGCAGAAGACACAGGTGATCGACAAGTACACGTCGTTGGAATCCCAACAGCCAAGGTTCAGCAGCATCCCGGATTCCTAGTCTTCGGTTGAGTCGCGCGGTTCAGACGGATGGGTGGTTCGCCAGGGGTGTGGGGGCAAACATCCTTAAAGCTTTAAAACGGGGGGGACCCCGGAACCATTCCGGGGTGGGTGTTTCATGTGGATTGGAAATTGTTTTTTTTCAAAAATGCATGAGTTACGAGAGCCAGCACGAAAAATAAGAAATCGACAAATTCTGTCACCTGGAGTCTTTTGGGGGGGGGGGCTCGCCCTCAAGGGAGAGTTTGGGGGGGCAAGGGAGGTGAACGCAGTTCAAACAATGACCTCAAAAGATGTATAGATTCTTAAGGTGTGGGGGATTTTTTTTGTAAGCCAAGCGAACACAAATCCTATCCTTTTTACTGAACTTTGGACAATCTTCTATAAAGACTCACCTCGCTCCTCCTGACGGTTTCTTACGACGTCGCCTTTGTAATGTGACCAATTATGAATCCATTTGTATTGACAGTTATTTTTGATCTTCCTGGGGAGGGAAAAAAAAAACCACCCCCCGCCCTGTTTTTCAAGAAGTACTTTGAATGATGCCGCTCAAAGACATCTTTAAATACTTTAAAAAGAATTTTAAAGTAAGTGTTCTCTTATTTTTAGCATGAACTTTGGGGGAAGAAATATTTTGGAGAAAAAAAACACAATTATTATTATTGCCTCTGGGGGTAAACAGAACAAAAATGGGCATTTTGCAAATACAATTTTAATTAAAATATTTTTTTTATTAAAAAAAAATATTCTAAATCAGTGTTTTGATTTTTATTACCCCCTAACTGGAAGAGCTGACCATACAGCAGCTTTTGCTTAAAAGGTTTTTTTTTTAAAAAAAGAAAAATATTTTAAACACGAAACTTTTAATTTATAATTGATTTTCCAACTCTGTTATTAAGTCAACGTTGACTCTTTTAATGACCACACTTTAGAATAATGTAAGGAATTCCCCCAGCCTGATATAATACAAAATACGGCAGATGTATATGTTTATTAGAGAATTAGAAAAAAGAGTTTGGGAAGTAACGAAGCCAAATGGAAAAGGCAAAAATTGATGTATTGCAAGATCGTCATCTGGAATTCTTTTTTCGGCAATTTTTACATTTCTAGTTTTGATAAAAACATAATTTAAACGGCTTAAAAATAATTTCTCTCTGTATGAAGAAATACTCATTCCTTCCCTAACATGGAATACCTTTCATTTTTTTAATATTGCCGTCAATTCAGGGACAACCTGAAAGCAACAGAAAACGACAAGCTTACCATCAGCCGAATAACAATAGGCAAATAGACATTTATCCAACCTTTAATCAATGTAAAAGCAATGCTTATTTATCCATACTGGAGGCGACTAAATATCTGAATTCACTTTTTAAAAAAAAAATCATACTGGCAAAACGTACAAAGGGTTCCACCACAAAACCGCGGTAGACAAAATTGCGGTCGACGAAAGCGTGTATGTGACGTCATCACAGCGAGACGGAAAAAATCGAAAAATGTAAAAATAAAAATTAAANCTCCCCTTCCTTTATTATTGTAAGCCGCCCTGAGTCCCCTCAGGGAAAAGGGCGGCCTATAAATGCTATTAAAATCTACAAAATCTACAAATCTACTTGCATTTTTAATGTGCTTTCGAACAGCTAGGTTGGAGAACCTGGGGCAAGTCACGGGAGCTCACTCCGTTAGGCGGCGCTAGGGATTCGAACCGCCAAACTGCCGACCGTTCTAATTGACAAGTTCAGCATACGTGCCAGCCAACTTTAACCTACAAATCTATAAAATCTATCAAAACACCGGGCGTACCTGTGCCTGTTCTGGTACGGTGCTCTGGAAGGCCCACCTGCTCACCCGCTCTCCTTACCTGTATTTGACCCAACCAGGCCATTTGTACACGCGCACGGAGTATACGGTGCCTGTGCAATGCTCCGCCGAGCAGCAGGAGCATCGTAGGCAATGGGTGCGCATGCACGCTGCACACGTGCACGTAGTGGGCGCCTGGTCCCATTGCAGCATATGCAACGGGATCTGGAACCCACCACTGATTGCATGTTTTATCAGACAGATTCAGAAATAATCCCCTTCTTGTTACAAGAATGGCTAGGAGAAATAATCCAGATCATTTCCAAGCTGATCTGAATTCCATTTGGAAATCTGCCTGAAAGCTTCTTTGGCCTTTTAGCACAATAGGAAAAGAACTGGTTAGTTTCTCCATCTATCTTCAGAACTTACAGCCTCTGAAAGAACATTAAAAAATTACTCACCAAACCATACACTATTACGTCCTCAAGAGATAACTATTTTTACAGTCTTTAAATCTGTTCAGGAAGAAGGAACCGAGCAAAACAATGAGTCGATTCCAAGTGCAAAATCATAGTTCTTGGATGAAGGATTATTTGAATTAATAGATACGAGATGCACTGCCACGGAGACAGGTTATGCTCCAAAATTCAGGACACTTCACTGAACATTCCTCCTTTCATTCATATGGAAATAAAATCCTAATAAAGATAATAAAGATAAACTAAAATCTACTAAACTAAACCTAGATTAAGCAACCCAAAGACCACAAAACAGTAAAAGTCTCTATGTGTTTATGGTATTCAGAATATCAAAAAGCCTTTTTGTATACTGCAAGCTATTTGTGCTCCATCCCAATGAGATGCCATGAATTGGGAATACTACATTGCCATATATATTTTAAGTAGTAAATTTATAAAGCTGCCCATCTTCCACGCGTCCAAGAATTGTGTAATCATTATTCTCCTCTCAAAGGTAATAGATATTCTCTCCTCAAAACACTTTTCCTCTCCTGTGTGATTAAGGAATTTTGAGGATTGTCATTCACTTTCCTTTAAGATGTAGAGGGAGTCCTTGACTAACAACAGTTCATTTAGTGACTGTTCGAAGCTACAAAAACACTGGGAAAAAGTGACTTACGACCATTTTCTCACTTATGACTCACAATTTCATGCTTTCAAACTGTTAGGTGGACAGGAGGCAAGAACGGGAGCTCGCCCCATCGTGCGGTGCTCAGGTCGCAAATCCTGATGGCTTTCCAGCTGACAAGCTGAACTTTGTTAAACCACTGAGCCACTGTACCACCACCCTTTTATATAACATAATAGATTTCTAAATTCCATGTACCTGTGGTGTTTGCATTTGCGTGCATGGGGCCACCTGGTAACTGTCTAAACTATTCCTTGTCATCTTATTGGCATCTTATTTTTCACAAGCGGTTTGCCCCTGCCTAACTCCCAAGGTGAGAGAGTAACTGGAAGTCACCCAGTTGGCTTTGTGCCTAAGTGGGGACCATAATTCATAAGTCTCCAGTTTCTGCCTTGACACCATTACACCAAACAGGCTCTCTCTGAGCATTTATAACTCCACAAAGCATTTTTTTCCAACACAGAACTCTCTTACAGAAAATAAATAAAGGAATAGCTGAAGAAGCTTCTTGGATGAGAAGTGAAATGTCTTCAAAGCAAAACCAGAAAGTCCAGTTGCTTCTTGAAAAAGCACCCTTGGGACAATCGTGACCTGGATGATGGAGGATCTCCAATAGATCAGTGTTTCTCAACCTTGGCAACTTGAAGATGTCCGGACTTCAACTCCCAGAATTCCCCAGCCAGCATTCGCTGGCTGGGGAATT